GAGGATGACTCCCATAATAAAAGACGAAAACAAGAATATCAATACTAGACGATACTAAAAATAGTAAATACTAATAATACGAGATTCTAAATGTCCAACACCAACCTAGTGCTTTCTTGTTCTAAAAATGCCTAATTGTTGTGATCTCTTTTGCAAACAAGTCGCGTTCTCGAAAAATTGTGGCCTTTTAGTTTCGTATGTTGGTTTGAGTTGCTAACATCAATTTTATATTTTGCTATAATTGCTAAATCATTATTTTGAATCCCTTTGATTTACATATAATCGATCTTTTTTTCTGTTTGATGTTAGTAGTGGTTCTCTGCTATTTAATAGGTCAGTAATCTGGAAGGTTCTTATTGATTTATGTGGTTTGTCTTGTCAGTTGTTTGTGTATGTTGTTGATTTCCTCCTATTTTGGAATTTCTATTGTAGGAGTGATACTGGATCTCCTGGTAGTGTTGATTGATATTCTATCCTAAGACCTAATAACTGTTGCATTTTTTTTATCTTCTTAGTGTCGCAATTACTGAACCTAATTTGTTTGAGGTTTTTCGATCTTATTGCTGTTGCATAATAACGAGTTTCACTACATGGTTGGAGCGAAATGCTATTTTATGTTGAACTAATTTTAGGATTTATGGTTTTTAGATTCCATAAAATGTTTGATTATGAACTTAGTTTTGGTTGTATATAAGGGATTTCTTTCAATATGTATTTGTTTATGTCTGATTGGCTTAGCTATGTTACGACTCTTAGTTAGTTAATTTTTTTCATGTATGATAAGCCTTTTTTTTTTTTTTTTTTTGGAAAAAAGAAAATAGGTCTACCATGAAAATCACGACCTTGACATAATTTTATTGATTGTCTTCGTGGATGAAACCCATGTTTCCTAACAAGGCAACCAATTATCACATCTAATATTCCCTGCTGAAATCTAAATTCATGCCAATCTCGACTTAGTGCTAAATATTAGAGCTAAGAGATCTTGAACTAATGCCTATTGTTAGTGTAGGTTTTGAGAATAGAGGGACTTATAAAATACAGCTTAAATGAATCCGAAAAAAGAAAAGACATTACACCTATTATATCTCCAAGATTGCAACTAAATAATTCCTAATAACTACTCGAAAATAAAAGGAAAGACATAATGTAGGAAATACATAAAATAAGAAATAAGAGGAAAGGAAATAAATCAATATTAACAACTTCTAACACTGTCCCTCAAGTTAAAACATATATGTCAATCTTATTCAACATGGATTTGACTGTGAGGAAGACACTTTGTGAGGTAGAACTTTAAATCTTCATCCCCATTAGGGATATTTCTAGTTGACCACAGTTGCCTTTGACTGCACTTTCTGCATGTTTTGTAGGTAAGTGAACGATTGTTACATGTAATGTTGTAGGGAAGTTTGAAAGGAAAGCTGCAGGGTATGGCTTGCAAGGAAAAAAACTCCGAAGGAGGGCTTGCTCTGGGAAAAAGAGGAAAGCGACATTAATGCCATCTTATTGACAAAAATAGAAAAAAATAAAGAAAATTAAAAAATAAGGTAGATGCAGAATCTCCAGTGGATTAATAACAGTGTTGGACGGAAGCTTGGAGGTGGAGGAATCAGACATGGCTCCGACGGAGCCAAAGGAGAGGATGTGTTGCCGAGGTATGGAAGGAGTTGATTCCTGCGGCTGGCAGGAGGGACATAGATCCGACAAGCAATTTGAATATGCTTCGATAAAATAATAACCTCTTCGAATTGACGGCGCAAAGATTTGTGTCTTCAAATAGACCGACAAGGTAAGTCTTTGCGGCCAACGTAACTCTGGAATCAGAGATCAATCTTGAAATGCTGCGTAATTTCACGGACCAGACGCTGGAAGGGAAGTTGACGGATAAGGAGCTCCGTGCTCTTTTGGGACATTCCAATCTCTCTTAGCGCAATTCTACTAGGATGGAAATGATATGGTTTCTTCATGCCACCGGTCACAGAAGCCAACTTTATGGCTGCCTTGGTTGCCAGCTGCTTTCTTGGAGCATTGCCGCTGGTGGGCTTTCAAGCGGTTAGCTTTGCTATCAAGGTAGTTTAGGCTTAGGCTCGAGAGGCCATGAGGAAGAGGTTCTCACTGGAGACAAAAAACAGCTGCTTGTGAAGTGTAGAGATGGAATTCTCATGGGAATATGCTGACAGGAATAAATTCTTATTTGAGGCAGGACCTGCAGGAGGAAGATCTATTGCGAAAGGAAGTAATCCTGACGACAACTGACTACAAAGAAAGACTCCAATGCAGAGAAACTGCATTTAAAGACTGCAGTGAGAATTCCGACTAGAGGAGGGCCTGCAATAGGAAATTCGGGCTGCATGAAGGAGTTCCCGTGGCTAGAGGACGGCTGGGAGAGGAGTTTCGAGGACTAGGCACCTACATGGAGAGATTTTCGATGCTAGTGCCTGCAGGTAGAGAGTTTTGAGAGCTAGTTTATGTAGGAAGGAATTATGGCGGCTAGGGCTTGCAAGGAGAGGAGTTTCAGCGGCTAGGGCCTGCAGGAGTTCCGGCGGCTAGTGTCTTGCAGGGAGGGGAGTTCCGACGGCTTTGGCCTGCAAGGAGAGGAGTTCGACAATTAGGGCTTGCAGGGAGAGGAGTTCCGAAGACTAGGGTCTGCAGGGAAATTCAACAGAGGCTGAACAAAGGAGATCGAAGAGGGGCTTGCAACTGTGGAAAGATTGTTGGCTGCAGAGAATAAGAAGTTTCTAACGGCAGGAGATCTTCTTCTCTGGACTCTAGAGTTTGTTTCAATATTCTGATATCATGTAGGTTTTGAGAATAGAGCAGAATGTTTTATTGATATGAGAGGGGTATAAATACAACTTACACAAATCATAAAATAAAAAAATACATAGCACCTATATCTCTGAAATTATAATTAATCATTTCCCAATAAGTACCAGAGATAAAATGGAAGGCATAAAATAGGAAATGCATAAGATAGAAAATAATAAAAAAAAGAAATAAATCAATACTAATTACTTCTAACAGTTAGATATTATAACTTGAATTGAAGTTAAGTTGTCACAAACTAACTTTTCTTTACTCTTTGGATTGAGGTTCACTAAGCAAAACTCTGGATAATGAAACGTCGAGACGGTTATAGGATAGGCTAGCTAATATCATAGAAACTTGATGCAAGAAGCTATAGATATAAATCTGATGCTAGTGCCGTAAAGCTTTTACCTGAAAATGTAGAGTTCATCAACTACCTTCTTTGAGAGCGCTTTCCTCATTGGGAAAGCTAATTAAATATGGTAAGTTGCATCCATTAGAAGTCCAGAAGCTTAGAACTACTCAAATCGTAGCATCTAGGTGAAATCTATTTATAAAAATATCAAGCTACCTAATCTGGAAGCTTTTTACAATTGCTTGTAGTCGTTAATAAGTCAGAATAGAAGAGCACATAAAATAAAGACAAGTACGGGTTCATGGAAATTTTGATTAAGGTTGGAGATATTATGGATGGGGATAATAAGATTTTAGTAAAAATAGAATATCGACGAAAGAGAAATTATTTGGTATGAGTTTTAGGAAAGAAATTGCTTTGGATAGGCAAATGAACAAAATTGTTAAGTATTTAATAGAATTTTTTGAAAATGTTAGCTGAATAAACTTTAAAGAAGATGGTAGATTTTTTTCAAAAATGTTTAGCTGAATAAACTTTGAAGATACATAAAGTAATAAATGTAAAGCTTCGGAACTACTTCTTAATTGCTTATGCTTCTCTTATGAGAAGTTAATCAAGCTATAGCTACAAAGGAATTTATCTTATTAAATTTTACTAGGCCCACTAAGGAAGACATCTAGGTACTCAATACAAGGGCTGTATATTCTATGAAGCAGTGTTTCAATCCCTCATTTCAAATTTTCATTAATTGGCTTTTCAAGTTCTATGTTACAGTTTTGTTGACAAACTTCATTTTTTTAACTCTTGTTTTCTGAGATCTTCATCTGGAGTTGCTATTCATTTACTGCATCGGAACCTTTCTCAATTTTTTTTACATAGAAATGCCTATTGTATCACTATTCTGCTTGCTATTAAAACTTTTTACTTGCTTATGGTTCTTTTTGCCCTCCTATGCTTACATATACTTGTTGTCTAACTAGTGGATTAAATCTTTTTTTTTCACTTGATGCCTTTTTTATGTAATTAATTGATTGAATTTTTGTATTTTAAGCACTTTTTTTTTCAATTTTATTGTATTTTGATAGAATCATGAGCTACTCTCGGACAGCTCTTAACAATTTAAGCTTTGCCTACTCATGGCCATAGTGCCTCTCTAACTTGATTTCGACCAATCCAGAGTTGCTATTTTGTAGAAAATGTGACAGTTCTACTTCAGTTTGGGCTTCAGTTGAACCGTGAATAAAAATAGAAAAGAGATAAAAAGGAAAAAAATGTACAAATAAGAGACTTAAATCAACTGGAAATCTAACTTCTCTCTGCCAATCAATTTATACTTTAGCTTGATGAAATTCCTGGTGTTGAAGGCTATGGCCTGCTAAAGAAAATACATTTTTATTAATGGATATGTTTTATAACTGGTTGCAGCGGTTGGATCAGATTGCCAAAGTATTTTTACCTTTTTGTTTGGATTTGAATTTCTGACTCATGTATTGAATGGTTTCAATCTGATTATAAACAGGTTTTAGTCCCATCTGTGAATTCTACTGCCCTACTTGATATCAATTCTCTGTGCATTCTTTGTTTCTGGTTGAGTAACTCCATTGTAATCCTCCTTGAATGTTATCTTTTTTAAAAGCTTTAAATATATGATCTCCATTTGTTTACTTAAAATATATGCATTCTTTTTTGTTTTTTGCTAGTTGTGCTGAGGATAGATTCTCAATGTAAAATGGTAAAAAGTGCTTTAATGCCTGCTTCATACTCGATCACAATCATTTCAATTGCTTAAGCATTCTTCAGATTTTGTGATACTCCGTGTCCGATTCTTCACCAGGATAATGGAATTTTAGTTATTCCAACCATTCCAGATTTCCCTTTGAAGCATAATTCTAAGAGAAAAATGTCTCCCGAGTTTGAAGATCGATTGTTTATGTTGTTGAGCCTTGCAGGGTTATCGGGCTGTTGTCAGGTAATAATGTCGTTTAAAATAGTTATGATCTCTTAAGACCACACTCTTTTAGGTCGTTAATGCTTTAAAAAACTTTTATTCTCTTTTCCATTTGAAAATGTGAGAATTTATTGTAGGTCCATGCACCCTTTTTTTTATTGCAGGTTGCCATTCCACTAGGAAAGCATGAAAGCTTTCCCATTTCACTTTCTTTTATAGCAGCACATGGAGCAGATAAGTTCCTTCTGGATACTGTTTTAGACATGCATGCATCTCTCCAGGAGCAAATTAGTATTGCGTCAAATTTGGCTCCCTTACCAGATTTTAATGGGGACATGGAGGCTTCAGAGTTATTGAAAGAAAAGGTTTATATTTTTGTTCTTTAAAATAATTCATTTTTCGAAAGCATTTGTGGTTTCTTCCGCTGTATTGGAGGCAATTATTTTCGAATAAAACTGTCCACTAATTTCATAATTGATATATATATAAATATATATATAATAAATTTTTAATTTACTTTGTAAAAGTTAGGCTGCTTAACATTAAACACTTTTTTTCGGATGTCTCCCCGTGAATTTGTCCTTTAGCAAACCCTTTAAACAGGAACAAAAGATGTACATGTTGATATAAAATGTATTTTTTATGTATTGTTTTAATTTGTAAGGCTTTGATTTGTGCGTTGGTTAGTCTATATTTCATTCCGTACATTTTTTAGTTGTGTGAGAAAACCTGATTTGCTGAGTTCTGCAATAGCATTGTTTCCTAAAAAAATTCTCATGTTTGTATCACAAGGCGTCTAATACACTTGCTGTAATAATTACTTTCTACTACCATTCACAATATTTTCTGTTCTCATTACTTAAATTCAAAGATCTTCGCAAAGGTTCCATAGCATAAATTGCTTTGAATTTATGCGTAACCACATCAATAAAGTTTTTGAGCTTGTTAAAACATTGACAAGTCCGTGAATATTGCTCATGTAAACTTGGTTACAGATGTGTTATGATTTGTAACGGGTGTTTTGGTGGAGAGGGAAATGGGCATTTTCTAAGTGCTAGGAAGAATGAGATATATCAAAGGTATATTGTGCAAAAAGATTGTGTCAAAAAGATGTGTCAACTAATATCATATATGCCTCAACGCCACTGAATGGATGAGTATTTGTAAAGTTAAGCCTAGGTATTTGTTGATGAAGAGACATGTAAAATTGAAAATGAGCACTTGATCTGATTGTTATTTTCATTTATTTCAATGTAAATTCTTCATATGTTCCATTTCTGCGTTTGCAGGGAAATGCAGCCTTTAAAGGAAAACAGTGGAACAAGGCTGTAAATTTCTACACTGAAGCTATAAAATTGAACGATTCAAATGCAACGTATCATTGCAATAGAGCAGCTGCTTATCTGGAACTCGGGTGGTACGCTATTTTTTAGTGTAATCATGTTGAGCCGATCCCAAAATATGTTGGATTTCTTTTTAATCACTTTAGACATTTATTTGCAGTTACCAGCAGGCTGAAGCAGATTGCAATCAAGCCATTTTACTAGATAAAAAGGTGGTAAAATGCACTTCAATATCTTATATTCTCTAATAAATTGAATTAATAGTTTTAGAATGTCATTCAATGCATTTCTGGTTGTAGCCGACCCCACTTAGTGGGATAAAAGTTTGTTGTTGTTGTAGTTGTATTCTCGCATTTCTGGTGCTCTTTGTTTATTAAAATGCAATAATTTTAGGTTTATTGGTGTTATAAAGGCTGCTGATATGGTTAGAATATGCATAGTGCATATAGCTTTGGATGTACCAATCTGTTCTTTGTTTCATATCATTAGCTGTTTTGAAATGTAGGATTACTGTATTCTTATATGAAATTGTGCGCATATTAGTTGTTAATTCTATGCAGTCTGTTCAGTTTGTCAGCGTGCATTGAGCCATTAATTTCTTTCCGGTAGCTGAGATTCCGGAATTTGGGTTTCAAGAATACATGCTTGTATTGCTATTATTAATTAGGTGAAATAGTTGTGGCTGGCCATGGGCCTTTTTGGCATTTCTTTCTCTTTGTATTTTAATTTTTTTTTTTTGAAATACAGATTTTGTTATTGTTTTGTATTTTTTTATTTGAACACAAGCCAAATTGTTAAAAAAAAAAAGAACACTTAAAAAATGTCAGGTGCTTTTTGTATTTCTGTAGCGATATGTCACGCCCCGTCATTTTCAAGGAAATTGCAAGACAAGTATGTGAAGGAAATCTCTAGAAGATGCATGCATGTCAAAGAACCTTCTAGAGCCAAGAAGGTGGATGAGAAAGTTCCACACAACTCTAGAAATTTCTACCCATTTCTAGAGGTCAAAGAAAGGCAATACTCCATGAAGAACTCAATGATGGAGCATGGAGTGTTCAAGAAAAACCTAGAAGGATCTAGAATTATGTATTTATGTAAGAATTGTATGGAATACTCTAGAAAGTAAAGAATTCTAGAACATTCTCCTGGCTTGGAGGGGGACTATATATAAAGATCCCTCCCCTCATTTGTAATCACCTAAGCATTCAATCAAAGCTTTCAAGTATTCAAGTGTAAAGTGTTCTTTTCTCTCTATTCTTCTTCTTAAGAGTGTTTTGTGCTCACAAACCCAAGCGTTGTGAGGATTAGATTGATTTGGTGCTAAAGGAGAGCGCTAAAGCCGTATGGGTAACTAGAGCAAAGTTAGTCTGTGACAGTTGGTATCAGAGCTTTGGCTCAAAGGAATGAAAAAAAAGAATCAAAGAGCACATGATGGAGTCAGAAGCCAATAATGTGGAGTCATCTGAAGGGCGAGGTCACTTGGAGCAAAGAGATCCCATTGCACCTAAGTCACATGGGAGGTCCAAGGAGATCATGCATGACTTTAATTTGTGCCTTGTTTAGATGGAGGATGCAATGAATGACTTGGAGGGCCAAGTAGAGAATCTTGGCGAAAGGTTTGATGGACTCGAGGAGGAGGAAGTCACCATCCATTCAATGATCAGAGGTATGATGCTCTAACTTGAGGAGACCTTAATGAGCCATATGACAAAGTTGCAGGAGGATTTGTTGGGGAAGCTCTAAGAGGTGCGAAGAGCCTATGAGGAGGAGATGAGAGACGTGCGTGCTAGCTTGGACGGGATGTGGAGGCATTCCGCTGGGCAAGAGGGCACTAGTGGCGTCCACAAGCCATCCCACCTTCGAAGCCAAAAGGATTGAAGTTCCAAACCTATGAGATTTAGAGGGGTTCGCAACACGAAGGAAGTAGCAACTTTCTATGGGGACTAGAGCAATACTTTGGGGCGACGGGGATTGTTGATGAAGATGCAGAAAACATGTTGCCTCTCTTTATCTCTTGGACATTGCTATGCTTTGCTGGAAAAGAAGAAAATGAGATGTAGAGAAAGGTTTGTGCTCCATGTCCACTTTCAATGACTTCAAGAGAAAGCTAAGGAGACACTTCTACCCTGAGAATGTCGAGGATGAGGCTAGAACCCGATTACGGTGACTCAAGCAAGAGGGATCGATTCGGGAGTGCATTAGGGAGTTTACAAGCTTGGTCCTTGAAATCCCTGATATGTCAGACAAGGATGCTCTCTTCAGATTCATGGATGAACTCCAACATTGGGCAAAAATCGAGCTTAGGAGGCAAGGAGTGCAAGATCTTGCTACTGCCATCGCGACTATTGAAAGCTTGACTGATTATTAAAAGGAGTCTAGAAAGTCTGAAGATAAGAAGAGTTGTGATGTCAAATGTGGGGATGACAAGGGTAAACACAAGGAGGAGAAATGTCGCGAATCAACCCCAACAAAGGCAAGGGACAAGGGGAAGACTAACAACAAGCCATATTAAAACCACAACTTTCTTTGTGAGGGACCTCATTGGGCAAGGGATTGCCCTCAGAAGAAGGCCATCAACTCTCTCCTTGCAAGCCATAAGGAGGAAGAAGAAAGTGATAGGGAAAATGACATGGAGGCACATGTGTGATCTCTTCAACTACTGAACGAGCTGCAAGATCCGACAAAACCTCAAGGGAAAGAGTTACTCTTCGTGGAGATGGCAATAGGAGGGAAGACCACTAGGGCAATGGTAGATACAGGTGCTTCCCACAACTTTATCTCTAGCAAGGAAGCAAAGAGGTTGAGGTTGCAGATGACTAAAGGAGTGGGCTCCATTAAAGTCGTCAACTCAACAGATATGTTAATCGATGGAATGGCTAAGGGAGTCGGGACCAGCATTGGGTCATGGTCAGGTACTCTAGACCTCTCTGTCACTCTTTTAGATGATTACAAAGTTGTTATAGGAATGAACTTCTTAGAACAAGCAAGAACAATCCCAATGCCATTTGTCAAAAGCTTGTGCATCATAGATGGGAGTCGAGCTTGCTCAGTACCAAAACGCTATCAACAATCTAGCTTAAGAATGACATTGTGCAGAACAAGGGGGATAACTTGGCTATCCTTCATGATACCAATGAAGGAGAAAAGACCCAAGAAGTTGGGATGCCAATGAAAGTGGCGGAGTTCCCTAATGAACCAGCACCAAGAAAGAAGAAAGATAGCTCAACAAGGTTGGAGACAAGGGATAAGCCGCCAGCCAGGAAGACTTGCTGCATGACACCCCTCTCCCATAACACCAAGGAGAAACCAAAGTCTGCAAAGTCTGGGGGCAAACCGAGGAAGCAATTTCGAAGGTGCAGGGGAAGCCGCAATGAGGGCATTGCAGGTTAATTGCGGGAGAGAGTCACGCCCCGCCATTTTCTAGGAAATGACAAGACAAGTATGGGAAGAAAAACTCTAGAAGAGGCATGCATGACAAAGAACCTTCTAGAGCCACGAAGGTGGATGAGAAAGTTCCACACAACTCTAGAAACTTCTACCCAATTCTAGAGGTTAAAGGAAGTCAATACTCCATGAAGAATTCAATGATGGAGTATGGAGAGTTCAAGAAGAATCTAGAAGGAACTAGGATCATGTATTTATGTAAGAATTGTATGGAATACTCTAGAAACTAGGGAATTCTAGAATATTCTCATGGCTTGGAAGGGGAGTATAAATAGAGGTCCACCCTCTCATTTGTAATCACCTAAGCGTTCAATCAAAGCTTCCAAGTATTCAAGTGTGAAGTGTTTCTTTCTCTCAACTCTTCTTCTTAAGAGTGTTTTGTGCTCACAAGTCCAAACGTTGTGAGGATTAGACTGATTTGGTGCTAAAAGAGAGCGTTAAAGTCGCGCGAGTGACTAGAGCAAAATTAGTTCGTGACAGGTCGCTCCATTGCCCTAGCTGCCATTGCTCCACTGGACGACTAGTGTCACCATTGTCATTCGTTGTGGCCAGCATCTTAGTGCTATACCTTATACTGGAACTAGTGGGAAATTCAACGGAAATGCAGATAAAACTTTTATTGAACAAAACAAAAAAGAACAACACAAAAAATGAATGACACAAGCAAACACCAATAAGGTGTATTCCAGGGGCGGTGGAGGCCGGCTAGGGGGGTCAGAGTGATTGGTAGGGGTGGTGACAACAAATGAATGCTGGTGGCCACAAGAGGTAGGTGCAAAACTGTAGGGACAACAATGATTGAGGGTCGGGCAGTAGGTTTTGTTGCAGAACATCAGTGACAGGGGCTGGGATGAAGGCTGGGGATGTGGACAACGATGCTGGACTGTAGGAATAGGGCGGTTGAAGAATGGGGTGACACAGAAAAAACAAACCCTAACAAGTAAAACAACACATATATAATTAGCTAATAGATAAAATAGGAAGAGAAGATTTCCCTCTTTGGGTGGCAACCAGAAAGGAAGGGGGAGAGAGGCGGGCGGTAGTCTTGCCCCTTCAAATTCCCGCCCCCAGGTTGCTTGGTCTGGGTTTACCCTGGACCGACCTCAATTGGGACGGCCGGTTCACTGGCGGGAATTCTTGCTGTGGGAGACTCTGCTCTCTCGTCTGTTTCCCGAGGTTGGGGGAGCCTCATTCATCGAAGCTCTGGTGACATATTGATTCTCATGATACAGCGTTAGTTCCCTCGTAGGTCTATCATGCTAGTGTTGTCATTCCATAACATATTCTGGTAGAATATGCGGTGGTTGAGTAACAAGTATGTGATTAGAACTCAATTCTGTGATGAAATTTGTGCAGGCTATGCCACTCTCACTAGCGACCAATGAGGAGATACATCTTCAGTGATAGGACTTGAATTCCATTGAAGAATTTTCATCCCTTTTAAGCTCCCAGGGAACATTTCATAGTTGAGGTTCAACCCACCCATCTGGAAATCTGTTGATAGGTGCCCCGTTGAGCTGACTCTAAAATCTGAACTACTCATGGTAATAGTCGAGGCATGGAGCATAATGACTTTTCTTTAGACATGTTGGACCTCGTGTTGTAAGTGCAACTCAGGAGGGGGTCTATAAATCTGAAATACCTGCCTTCCTCTTGTCTTAGGGGGGCTGTGTGTCTGATGTTGGCTCCACAAACTTGTAACTGTAATAGCCACTTACAATGGAGTCTTTTGGAGTTCCTTCCACGAGCTCAACTAGGACTAAGTGTATCTTCTCCTCCTCAGTTGGAAGCAGGCTCTTGTTCATTTCCTTACTGTCTTTAGTGCTAACGATGTCTTTCCTCAACTTTTAGATTACCCCTTGCTCGGTGAAGTAGATCACTCCCCTGGTTGTACATTATGTTTCACCATGTCCAAATCCGTGACGCTTGCAACATTTTTTGAGTTTGACAGACTTGCAGATTGGTTGCGTTGGATAGTAACCAGGGGGTGTCGCTTAGTGTTGCAGTCTTTCCATTTCGAAAGCTAGAGTTTGCAACTTTTGACGGTAGTAAGTTGGTAGAAACTGATATTGTGTTTCCCGCTTCATACCTTCTCGTTCCCTCTTTCGGCCTTTCGGATCACTGTCGAGGGTAGCCTCTCATTGGATTTCATCTTCAATGTCTGTAATCCACCAGGGGTGTTGATTCAGGCCAGCGGGTCAGGTTCGAGACCGATCCAAAAATGACTCGAACCCGAACCCGATTTCATCGGGTCAACCAGAACCCGATTTCATCGGGTCAACCAGAACCCGATTCGATGATAAACTAGTCGAATTTTCTGACCCGAACCCGGCTTGAAAATATTCAGGTTAACCATAACCCAAATTTTTTAAGTTGAGTTTCAGTCGTGTTAGTGGGTCGGGTCACTTTTTAGCACTTATGGATGCCAAGTTGGGCCAGTGGGTCGGGTTTGGGTCTGACCCGAAAATAACCCGTCTCTAAACGGGCCACAACCCGAACCCCTGACCTGAATAATAAACGGGTCGAATTTTCTAACCCGAACCTAACTCGAAAAATATTTTGGTCAACATTAATCCAAATTTTTCGAGTCGAGTTCGAGGAGCGTGTAATTTTGACACCCCTAGGATCCACCTCCAAAGTCTGTTGATCTCTCGCCGTAGCTTCTTCCAGAAAGGCTTGGCCATGGCAAGGGTTTAGAGTTGGGAGGTGAGGGGCTAAAAATTTAATTTAGGGCCGTTGATTTTGAAAATCTGCAAGAGGAATTGAGGGTTTGGTCAAAGTTTTGGCTATGGTTGGGATATGGAAAAATAAAATTTTTATGGGGGTGGCTTGGGAAGGGGCAGATGCTAGGAAACGCTAGGATAAGATTAGAATTGGACTAGCTCTGATACCAAATGATACCAAAACTAGTAGAAAATTCAACAAAAACGTAAAAAAAAATTTTATTGATGTAGAGAGAGGGTTACAACACAACACAACAAAATATAACAACACAAAATATGAACGACACAAGCAAACACCTCTAAGGTGTATTCCAAGGGTGGCAGAGGTCGGCTAGGTGGTTTGGGATGGTTGGCAGGGGTGGTGGTAGCAAAGAAATGTTGCCGGTCACGAGGAGAAGCTGCAAATATGTAGAGACGACAATGATGGACGGTTGGGCAGCAGGTTTTTCTACGAAATAGTGGTGACCGAGGCTGGGATGAAGGCTGGGGAGGGGGACAACAATGTTGGAGTGTAGGGACAGGGTTGTTGAAGGCTGGGGTGACGTCCAAGGAGCTGGACAACAAACGTAAGTTGTTGTGAGAAGGGTGGATGGGCGCAGGGGGGGGGGTGTAGTAGTGGGGATGGTAAAAAGGAAGGATACATCACTCTTTGGAGGAGGATACAAACAGAGCATTACCACCTCCTTGGGTGTAGCCTTAGAACAAGGAAAACTCTTCACACAGGAAATCTGAAAGTAGAACATAACAAAAACTAACCCTAACAAGCAATACAACACATATATAATAGCTAATAGATAAAATAGGAAGGGAAGATTTCCCCCTTTGGGCAGCAACTAGAAAGAAAGGAGGAGAGGGGCAGGTGGTAGCTCCGCCTCGTTAAATTCCTGCAGCGGCCTGGATTTACCCTTGACCAACCTGAATTTGGCCGGCCGGTTTACTAGCGATACTTCCCGCTGCAGGAGACCCCGCTCTCTCGTCAATACCCCATTGCTCTGCAACTGCAACCGCCGAGACCACTGCATAAATAGATGCACACGATACTTGATAAAACAAGAAACATTATATATATTAAATTCTTAATAAATTTTCATTTTATATTAAAACACGAAAATAACAAAATAAAAGGAAAAAGATTAAAAATAAAAAATGATTCTACACGGCCCCTAAGTGATTCTCATTTTTAGCACACTAATTGTATTGCATTTCTTAAATAACTAAAAATTACCTCCTAGGATTCTCTTAATTTTCCGAATTGTATTGTGTTTCTTTTGACTTGTAAATTCTGAATCATGTAATCAATTGTTTGTTCTTCTAGCATTTCTTCTCCCTTGATCTCTCTCTCTCTTGCCTGTATTTATTTATTATATTCTAATAAAAGTATCTTTGGAGGAACTAAACTTTCAAGAAAACGCTTTTATTAGTGTTAATTGCTTTATTTACATCTGTCAGAATGTTAAAGCATATCTAAGAAGAGGAACGGCAAGGGAGATGCTCGTATCTTATAAAGAAGCTGCTCAAGGTACAAATGATTCTTATGTTGAGCTTTATGTTATAAACAATGCCTTTTCCATTACGCAATAAACCAAATAGTACTTTTTCACTCGCTTCACTTGCATCTTTGCATCCAACTGCAATGCTTGCTCATTGCACCTGTCACTTACAGTCTTGCTACTTGATCTGGCTCTTATGTGATAGCCTGTGTTACCTTGCAATGCTTGCTGCACATTGAGTACTCTCCTTTTGATCACCTCTCACTTGCATGCTATTGCCACAATATGGTTGCGACCATTCACTGCACTTGTTGCTTGCCTGTAACCTTAAATAACTTGTTTGCTGTGAAAAATCGTAATTGCTCTCGAGAGAGAGTTTTGCGAATTTGGGTCAAATTTTTAGAAGAATGACGATAGTTGTATTAAATTTTAGTCATTTCAAAGGTCAACAGTGTACTTTTGGTAATAATCAAAGCAAACATCAATTATTCCTCTGTACTTAGACTTGCATGTGTCTCAATTAATTATCTAACGCACCCTCAATCAGTGTAGTTGATCATTGAGGTTAAGCAGCATGTATTTTTCGTGTTAATGTTGGAATTGAAAGTTTTGTTATTCTATATGCTTTTTGAGAGGGATGGATAAGAAATTGATGACTCAGAGATATCAATTGTATTCGAAGTTGAATAATGATGGGATCAATTGTTGTGTGCAACATTATTCAGTGAGTGAGGGTGTGGGGGACTAGATCAGTAGTTGTTGGGATGGTTTGCCAAGATGATTGAGACAAGCTTTTGGTGAACGAATTTGCTAGTACTTTGGGTTGACTCCAATGACATAAGCGAGTTGGGATGGAGTGATTCATTTTGGAAAACTGGATATTACTTAGTGTGACATTGATCTGATTGTGGCATGAGCGCAAGAGAGTGGAGAGAAGGGAGTTCGATTAGATTATCTTGATGAGTCTGGGAGAGGGCTATGATGGGCATTGGTGGGTGAGTGGGCTTGAAGATGGCTGAAGGGTTTGAACATGTGAGTGAGGAAGAGGGCTAGGGATTGAGAGAGAGAGAGAGCAAACGATCAGGGAGATGGGGCAAATATTTCTCGTTTGATTACTTTTATTCTTTCTTCCAGACATTTGCCTTGCTCCTATTATTTTTCGCCATTAAGAAAAATAGAGCACTATTACATCATTTGTAGAAACAAGCTATGCATGTAGAAATGAGTGTTGTTCTTGTTTTTCATAGACGGGAGTTGTTCCACCTTTTGGGTTTAAACTAATTGCCTTCTAATGGTTTTTTTTCTTAAAGGTTTAATCCGATGGAACAATTGATTGTTATAAAACTTGACTAGTTGAAAAAGGATTCACATCTTATAGAGTTATACTTTCAATTAAAATTATTTTATTTGTCATTATTAATTTAGGAAGGATTATGCAATAACTAGGTATGTCAAAAAAGCTTGTCATTTGTGAATAACTCATGCTATTTAAGAAACTTGTGTTCGATTCATTCGTTAAATGGGTTAATATTTAAAATGCTGGTGAATAACTGAAGATATTAAAAAGCTTGTCGTTTATGAATAATTCATGCTATTTATGAAACTTTTAGAAGCAAAATTTTATTATTCTTTTAAAATTTGAGAGAAATAATACATTTACATCATCAAAGCAAATGAACAAATATCATAAAATTGTATGACATCATTAAAATTGATAATTCATAATTTTTGAAATAAGAGAAAAAAAATATAAATTTATAATTACCAGTCACAATCATAGAAATGTTTTGAGAGCTCTATGTACAAATAAACAAAAATTATATAAAAAAAATGTATTACTTCATTAAAATCAAATAAAATTACAGAATTTACACATTCAAAATATTTACATCTCACAAAAAAAATTAGAAATTACAATAATTACAACTTTTCAATTTATTACACATTTACACTACATTTTCTTCTTCAAAAAAGAAAAAAAGAAAAAAAAAAACTAAAAGTACTCAATTTTTTCTCTTCTTATGCAATGGATACTTCGATGATCCAAAAATGATTTGTATGATTGCACTGCACTTGCATAAGAAAAAAAAAAGGATAAAAGAAATATTTGTTCGTATCAGAGCTTGTTATTTCCACCCGTTAACAATTAAGATGAGCTTGTTGTTTATATAATATATCCCAAAGCATAAGTCGTGTTTCATATAGGCCATTTGAATGACCATGAATCAGGATCATTCAAGAGCTAACATAATACCTTAAATGATCATTCAACAACAAGCATAAGTGGTAATTAATGATCATAATTCATGATGATGGTTACCAGAGCTTAGATGATATGTATTAGTGCATAAGTTAATGATTGTAGAGTAGCAGCCAACATGAATAAGTGAAGCAGAGTAGCAAAAAGCAATTAATGGAAATTGAAATGTATGTATGTAAATTTTTCAAATAAAAATTTGCAGAAGAGTAATACTTGATAAAAGGTATGTCACAGAGAAGTAATACTTGACAATATAACATGTCAATAGCAAAAAGATTCCACTTAGTTTCACAAAATCACTAAAGAGAAGGAGAAGAGAGAAGAAGAGCTTCAAACTTACCAGAATTTAAATTTCCATCCAAAAGATAGAAAAAAATATATTTTCTAGCTTGGTTGAATCATCATGCATCTCTAGAATTCATCATAGCTCAAAAAATTATATATATATGAATCCAAAATTCAAACCAGCAATTGAGAAACGCACCAACACATGCAATTTCCAAATGCATCAAATTTAATTTTCTTTGAATTTTGGATCATGACAGGTCATTTTGAAAATTAATTTCAGTTTGAATGTCGGTGCAATATATGAATTGTGGTGTTCGCTTTGCCGAGTCATGGAGGGTTCACCTATGACCGTCTGATCATGTAGGAACTTATTTTTGGGCCCTGTACATGTTAGTCCTGCCCTTGCAATTAGTTGTCGAGTGCTTGAGACTACTCATGAGAGGTCTTCACAAAAATGGGTCAAGAAGTGATTCGAAGTTCTGTGGGAGTTGGGCTCCATTACTAGTCTGCTAGGATGATCAATAAGGAACTCGTAAATCTTGATCCTGGGTTCTAGGATTAGAAGACTAAGACCTCAATGAAAATGAGGTCAACAATGTCAAAGAGAAATAATAATTAACAATACAGCTATGCCTGTACCTGCTTTCTCTTTAGAAGTATTTGGGGATAACTCCACCATCCAACAACAAACATAATGCCTTAAAAGCTTCCAGCCTTTCACCGTTCAACAATAAACAAAAAAGTTTAGAAGTAACTTCTATATTTCAAAATTCCAATAACCAAATGACTTAAAAGCTTCCACCATCCAACATAAAGTGAATCAATAGCAAAAATATTCTACTGAGTTTCACAAATCCACCAAAGAAAAGGAGAAGATAGAAGAAGAGCTTAGAACTTTCATGAATTTAAAGCATGATGATTCCATCCTAAAGATAGAAAGAAAATTATTTTCTAGCTTGGTTGAATCATCACACATCTCTGAAATTCATCATAGCTAAAAGAAAAAAACATACAAATCCAAACTTTCAAACCAGCAAAAGAGAAACACAACCAACACATGTTTTTTTCAATTAATCCAACTAGCAAACAACAACCAAACAACAACCAGAGCAATAAAATATCTCAAACCCAACGGCCAAAAAGTGCATATAAATACAAAATTAAGTTTAAAATCAATGACTAACCACTTAATGATAAACAAATGTCTCATATTAATATATTGGTCAAACTTCAAATAATGAGCCAAAATTAATGAAAATATTTCATTGTCACGTCATTGAGCCGTCCATACGATCACTTCGATAAATTTATTGCGAGTCGTTCCTCTTCCATTATCTCTTCATGTTTATTTAGAGAGGATACATATATAAAAATATATAAAGACTAAATTAAACATAATTTAAAAGATTATAATAATAAAAAATATTACCAATGACATTTTCAAACTAAGTAAGCTCTGATCAAACTAGATGCACATATAAGTGCATTGAGTGTCTTTGTAGATAATGAACTTCTATTGTCATCAAGAACTCTCCCACCGGCACTGAAAGCAGACTTTGAAGTCACTGTTATTGGAATTGATAAAATATCCATAGCCATTTGGGATAAACTGGATATTTAAGAATGTTCAATTTCCACCACTTAGGAATATCAAATTGACTATTATTGGCCAAAAATAAACCCTCCTCAAGATATATCTGCAAATCTGATTTTGAAGGTTGAGCGGACCCCGATGATATTACAAAATCCGTAAATTTAAGCATACAATCAAAATTTTGTGGAAAAGATCAATCAATTATAAAGTTCAAAGATCTGCTAACTTTTGATGTATTGGAGCTTGCAAAATCAGGTGTATATTCATTATATATATTCCAAATAGTATCTTCAACCTCTTGATTTTTTTTGTTGAGTTCAATGAATGAGTATATTTTTGGAAACGTATAATGAACAAACTTATATTTCAATCGAGGATCTAACACAATCGCCACAAACATAAGAAGATTAGACTTGCCCCAGTATTTATCAAACTTTATTTTCATTGCAAGGGTTATTCCTCTAATATAATCATCAGAAGAAGAAGACTCCTACATTAATAACTTCTTCACGTGCATAACTGTTGGCATGAAAACATTGGATGCTGGGTGTGAAAAACCTCAAATAACTTTTATTACATTACAAAAAACGACAATAAAATTTCTTATTTTCTCATACGTCTCCCATTCTGTATCAGATGACAATCATTTGTGATTGTTATCTTGTGTTGCATATTGACTAAAAGCAATTCTATAAGAAAAAACAGATTCAAGCATTAGATAGGCTGAGTTCCATCTTATAGGCACATCACTAAATAATCCCTTATTGGTTGAAACCCCTAACTGTTTAGAGGACCTCAACAAACTTGTGAAGTCTCATCGGTGACTTCTTCAGATATTTTACGGATTCTCATATTTGAAGAATTATGTTTTGAACCTCTTTCTTGCCCACTTGAACCATAATATTTAATATATGGGCACACCATCTAACATGAAAAAAAGAACACTAAAAATGCAGCTTACCTCTCGACTGAAAATTAACTCTAAGAGAGCTAGCTACAGCATCATTATTAGTGGCATTGTTCAAGGTTATGGTGGACACCTTATCTTGGAGGTTCCAATCAAGTAAACAAACAGATATAGCATCAAAAATGCAAGCACCACTATGAGGTGGTTCTAATTCAATAAAATTAATGATTCTTTCTTGTAAATTTCAAGAATCGTCAATATAATGAAAAGTTAAACACATATAACCAACTATTTGATTTGACGTCCAATAATTAAAAGTTAAAGAATCCCAACTTATATCCTTGAGAATTGTTCACAACTTCTCTTTTTCAATATCATATATTTTATACAATCATTTTTAATAGTATTTATGGACACACCCTCTCATAATGGGGGTTTAATGATTTCAATGAGATATTAAACCACAAATGTTTAACCATCATAAATGGATAGTCATGCACGATTATTATTCTAGCAATTATTTCTATTATTTGATGCTGATCGTAGCTTTTTGGGTTATGAATAATAAGAATCTCAATATCTACACTAGCGTCATGAGGCAACAAGTTAAGGGTTTTTTGTCTTTTATCTAATGAATCGACATGTTTGTTCTTTCCTTTGATTTTTTCACAATCTTTGACATACATGAGTAGTTGTGAAGTAGTGCCACTTTCTTATTTGTAAAATTTGGTAAGACAATATATGCATTGCCAAAGGAGTTGCAACTCTTTTGGGTAAATTCTGTCTCAACAAAACACTCCCAAACCGAAGATTTTTTCTTTCTTTCCTTCTTGGCCAAAACTTCGAGATTATTTGTTTCAACAACTACTATTTTTGGTTCTCTTGAAACAATATTTGGATTTTCACTGCTATTTTTGGCTTAAACGATAATTGCATTAGCAGATGAAGCAGTTTTTAGCAGATGAAGCAGTTTGAAAAAGATATAAATTTGACATTGCAACACACTACATAAAAGAAATTAAATAAGTTATTTTTTGCACTTCAAGATCCACCCAACACTAAATAAACCATAAAACATCAAATATTGCATAAGTTTGAAACTCTCAACATCATGAACGGCTAGGCGCATTAGTTCATGGATTAAAATGAAAATGATAGATTACTCATAACTACTTTTGAAGTGCCAACATTATTGTTTCAAAAAGCATGACTGAAACTTGGTGGACACTTGGTGTGCATTAACTCTTCTTGATAAGAGCAAACCAACATTATCGACTATTCACAAATCAAATACATGTGCTAAACATAGTTCAAAAAGCATAGGGATTGAATGTAATTTTTATTTATTTACATATGTAACACCTAAAGTTTAATAGTGAAATACATAACACTTAAATCCTTGACATAAGATTGTATGTAAATATAAATATGAAAGGTTAGGTGTTAGATCTGTAAGTACATAAGAGTTGTATGTATGCATGTAAATTTCGCTTAAATGAAAGAAAGTAAAAAACGATGTTGAATTCATATTGTGCTTGATTCCTATGTATTTACATATCTAACACCAAAACTTTAATTTTTACATATAAGCCACCTTACCTATGCATGATAAGATGTATTTCACTTGTTTAAAAGTTAAAATAGTGATGCTTTTGATTTTATATAAAAAATTTGGGTGTTATAAATGTTGAAAGTTAAGTTTTGGTGTTAGATATATAAATACATAATAAATGAGTGGAATGCATGTAAATACCCCCGAAAAAAAAATAGTGTAACGGCATCCTCATCATCACCTGAAAATATGAAGCCCATTAAACAGAATAGAAACTGCTACTGATCATTTTATGACAATATCTTCTCATTAAAAGTTATTTCATTAGTGTAATTTGCAATAGATTTAAATCATATTTTTAAGAATAATCCATGCAAATAATTACAACGAGAAAATATAAAATCTTTTGATGCTCAACCAATCTCATGAAAAATAAAAAAAACTAATAAATATTAAACTAATATTATTAATGGAACAGAAGGCAGAAGTAAAACATTTTTTTAAATAATCCTCCATCAATGAACAAAGGTTAACTAAGTATTGATAAGAAATAAAACTATAAGTTTGACTGGAATGTTTCATAGGATGTTGAGCCAATATCTCATTTCGTATGCTGGAAACAAGTTACAATTGGAAATGGACAAAACCTTCAAATTGCTCAAATCGGTGCCAATACTTTACCCACTCCATCCGGTAAAGCTCAAACTCTCCAAAATTCATTATTTTCTGCATCTCTCTCTTAATCCTATTTTAAAAGCTAAATCATAAGAATTCGGTGGTATGTATGAAAAATGCCCTTCTTTAAATTAATGGCTTAGCCTACTGGCTACTACTGAAACTCTTATGGAACTTGATACAGATATTTGATGCAAAAATTTAATGTGCCTTTTAAAATTCAATACATAACGCAATGAGTATATTGAAAGAGAGATTTGATTCAAAACATATATTTATAATCTTTCACCGTTCCACGACAGGGATAAAACGCATACCAAAAAATTCGAGAGGCAAGCCTACTGAGTTGTTTATAACACTCCACGGTGCTCATGCCAAGCCTCATTTATAAAATCATCCAAAATCCATGTATACAAAAAATATTTCAGAAAAGCTATCAGAAAATAGAAATAAGAGTCTAAGAGAGAAATATATCCGAAATTAGGAAGCAAGAGAAATTCTTGTTTCGGTTTCGAGATCAAAAGAAGAGACTGGAGCCACGAGAGCAAAGATACTAACTATAAACGACGACCAAACCAAAGAGGAGACAAACCAAACTCTCGAATTTCGCTCGCTTCTGCCTCCTTGTAAACACGAGACCTAAATAAGAGATGAGAGTCAAGAAGAGAGGAAGGGAACGAGAGTCGGCCACGGGAGAAATTAGGTTTAGGGTGAGACATAGCGCTTCGGCTTCACTTTACCTTTTATACGCAATTTTTTTCTTAACTTATTTTAATAAAATTTAACAACCTAATGTATTATGTTTGTTTTATTTTAATTTTTTAGCTACTATGAATTTAATCTATTATAAATTTTTGTTGGATTATTTAAAAATTATACACATCAAATATAAATATAATATATATATATAT